CATGTTAACTACCTCTAATGATGTGTAAGAAGTGGGAGAACTTCTTAGGTATAATGCAAATTGGTGAAAGAAAGGCTAGAAAGACAAATCTTCAGCTCATTCACAGTTGTTAGGGGTTAGAAATAACTTCCTCTTTTCTATTCAAGTTTACCATCCAAGGAATAACTCAGCCCTTTGCTCACACCTATGTTTTATAGGTAGAAACAGAAAAAAAAATTGAAATAATGAACCAAGTCCACAGGAGCTCCTCCCTGGTCTTACCTGCACTGTATTTTTTGTGGTGGAAGATGGTCCAATTCCAGATAATGCTACCGAATGTTCTAGAACTCCCACAGAGCACCATCTTCAAGTGACAAAAAAGGAATGGGACTTTGGTATGCTGTTGATGCACTGCAGTCCTACCACACGATCCCTATTTTAGTGATTTATGCTGGATAAGCTTCTCCCTCAACCTGCTGAAAGCAAGCTGGCCACCAGTCCAGAGAGGAGGAGACCAGCTGCTGACAGAGATAAAAATAATAACAAAAATAGTTCCCTGTATATTAACAGAATCATGTTGATATCTTTTCATCTATTAGAAAATGTCCAATAAAATGTTTGTGGGAGTACATCTTGGTTTTATGGGGCTTGCACTGGTAAATGAGTTGAATTTAAATTTAGAGAGCAGGGTTCCTTTCCTTGTGGCTTAAAGGATTTTGATGTAAACCAGTAAGTCTGCAAAAGCAGCGCTGTAAAACTGTAAATTAGCTTTATGAGGCTGCAGCCTGGCAGAGCTGCAGAGTGCACCATTTGGGTGACAAAACTGTAAGTCATCTTTAAAATGCAACTATTAGTCTTAAATGACTCACAGCACAAAAGTACCTGGGAGGAGTGCTTAGGAGATGAAAATATACCAGAGCAGATTCTCTGGTGATGTAAAATCCAAACGGCTACCTCACCATCTCAGACCCAGGGCAGCTGGATGGAATCTTAAGTGCATAACATTACATTCCTCTTTCTTTTTTGTGTGTGAAGAGATTTTTTAAAAAATGACTTTTCAAAAGTCCTACTTCACAAAAAGAGAGGAGAGGAATAAATTTTTAATTTCTGGCCTTCAATCTTGCTTCAGATGCTCCTTTACATCTGTGTTTTGGATCAAATCATACATATATGTAAACATATTTCCAAAAAATCTTTTTAACATAGATGTTAAAAGTAGGCTTTTGAAATTTTAAGATTTCTAATGATGTTGAACATATCTGTTTATATAGCATTTGCATACAAATTGTAAATGATCTTTGTGGGAGAATACTCTATTCCAAAGCATACTTCCAGCAGGCTTGCGGGGGAGCTGGCAAAAGTCATCTGCTTTCTGCAGTAGAAAACAGGCAGCAAACATTTAACATCTTTTACTTGTCTTGTTTAGCTGTTTGTCAGTGGTAACAAAATCCATGTGGCTGCTTCATTTATATGGTAGTAGAAGCATTTAGCTAAAAGCCATTTTAATTTCTCCATCTCTGAAACCAGGAGGGTGCGTAAGAAAGGGAGAACTGGCACAAGCCTCACCAGTGAAAGTGCTAAGTGCTGTTAACATCCCCCCTGATGCTGATGCAAAACAGCAGCAAGAGAGCATCTGAAAACAGGGCTGCTGCACCAGCAGAGGCAGGGAACAGCAGAGGCAGCGGGGCAAAGGGAGCAGAAGGAAACCTGTACTGAATGTGGGAACAGCAAAACTCTGAGGAAATGGAGGAACAGCATGATTTAGCTTGTGCTCCTGCTGAAAAGCAGGATATTGGTCACTCCATCTCCAAAAAGACAGAGAATAGCAGCAAGGATGTTCAAAGCAGTAGCATAAACCAGGGGCTTTCAGCCTAGGCCAAAGGCACGAGCAGAAATGAACCATGAGAAAAGCCTGGAACAGAACCCAGACCACAGGCACGGTGACGGGGTGACAGTGACTCTGCACAACTCCCCCAGCACAGTGCCACTGTTGGACAGCACATGTGAAAGGAAAAGCTTGGAAAGTCTAAAACTGCAAAAGAAGGAAGTGGCTCTTGTTTCTCCTGGATGTTGCTCACGAAAGCCAAGTGTTCTGGGGGTTCAGGAGGGATTAGTCCGTCTGTTGAAGGACAGTATCAGTGATTCTTGGACACAGTGGTGCAGAGGAAATCCCCTGCTGAGGAGCTCCATTAATACAGAGCACGTTTCTTACCCTATTCCCTCAACTTTCCATCTTGGTCACTATTCAGATACGATGCAAGACCAAGTGGATTTTCACCTGACACCACAGAGGACTCGGGTGCACAGCCAGTAAATGTGTGCTAGCAGCTTGGTTGCTGCTTCAGCCCCCATCTGGTGGGAGTAAGGTTAATAAGCATTGTGACATTTCTAGTCCATTTAAACAATACAAGAACATAGATTAGAAAACGTGAGAGTTCTTAATTCAGATTCACAGAGGTGAAAACAGTAATAAAGGAGCTGCTTTAGTGAAAGTGAAGAAAAATGGGTAAACAAAACCTAAAGAGAAACAACATTATTCTCTTGAGCAATATAAAATTAAAATCTTGCCTCAGGCCCAGAAGGTTTCTTTTCTGGCACTGTAAGAAAATTTGACATTAATTCCTCTTGAGCACGTTAGCTCAGACACTAGACTTCACTGGATTTTGGATTTAACTTGGATTTTGCTGTTCAACCCAGATCCCCTCAATCTGAAGGCCCTTTGAGACATACTTTGGGGGAAGTCAGTCTAGACAGCTTCTGGTTTCTCCCTCTCTAGGCATGTTCAGTGGGCAGAGTTGGGTGTCACTGCACATAGAGGTTTACCAGAGCTACCCAAGACTTGGAAGTAAACACTGTGCATTTCCTGAGGAGGAGCTTTAAGGTCTGAGCTCCACACAGCAGCATTTGGTACCCCATATGCTGTGTGTATCTCACATGTATTTGGAAAACAAGAGGTGAAAATACATACAGCTCTCAGGAATGACATAAATATGTCACAGCACCTCCAGGATAGGACCTGAATCTTTGTGGTGGAAGCCAGCCTAAGCTAGTTTGAAAATTAAAACTGCATCTGAGGGGAAGCTGAGAAGAAATTAACTGCTGGAGAGTGACTGTAGCTGGTTTCCCAGACAACAGCAGCTCACTAGAACTCCACTGCTTTTCTGTGCATGCCATTCCCTATTTTTTTCAAATTCGTGACATTTTGTCCAACGAAGAACAGGTTTCTGAGGAGGAGGACTGGAAGTCACTAGAAATATAATTCAAACACAGATAGAGCCATGTGCTGCTGAAAACAGTGACAGCTTGCTGCCAAATACACTGGTATTCTTGTCCCAGTCTTAAATATGCTTGGAGCCATTATGATTTCCCAGTGCAAACAGGAACACTCATGTCAGGCTGCATGAAATACTAAAGTGCAGGAAATGTTTGGGGAAGTCTAAGTACTTGTAAGTCTCAGACTATTCCAGCCTGCTGAGCTGGGAACACAATGAAATTTGCAATTCCAGATCAGCAAGAACAAGCAAAGTCTGACATCAGGAGTTGTTCATCATGCTTTTCAGAACTGGGATCCTGAGTGAAGAAAAAGTTTCAGATCATTCTAGATGTGCACACTTAAGTACCTACCCTGTGGTTCATCTTGCTGCTCTTGGCCAAACAAGGGGTAAGAAAACCCAGAATGCTTGTTTTCAGCTTGCTGCATTTCCATAAAGCTCCTAAAGTCTCCAGTTCCTGCTCCACACTGGTTGTGTTCCTACCCCCAAAACTCATCGCCTAGGGCCAGGGCTAATGAGGACCTTGGCTAATTTAGAAGAACATATGAGTAACAGTGCAGGTTAATTTGGTCAGCACCAGTTCCAGCAGGACATGCCCTCACAGGGACAGCTCTCTTTTTGGTTCAGGTGAAGTAAGAAATTATTTTTGTATGAAATGTATAAGAAATGAGAATTCTTTAGCTAGATTCTAGGTTTGATGGTGAATGCAAAGTGTTTGTAATTAAACCAAGTGTCACACAGCCAGCTTTGTATCCTGTGAAATTTCCAAGTTGTACAATGAAATCAAGCCAATTTTTGGCAGTACCACGTGGGGTTTATTGTTTCAATCTGAAACTAAACCACAATTAACCTGTGATTGACTTCACCTTTGCTTGGGAACAAAAAAAACCTGTAAACTTGCTAAAATAGAGCTGGCAATTTCCTGTGTTCTATTTGCTTATTTAAATGCACCCCAAAGAAGCCATTTTTTGCCTAAGTGAAGGTTTGTGGACAGGTTTTTTTAGCAGATTCCTCTCACGTACGCACACACACTAATTTCACGGAGAAGGGTTTTGTTCTGTTGTTAACAGAACAGGCAGGAAAGCTCTGCAGCAAATGTACATTCATTAGGTGATTGGATTTTTAAAAGAAATTGTTTGGAATACACATGATACCAATTACTGAGGTATGAGATCTAATTCCTCAAACATCTGAACAGGATGAGGCCAGATTTTCAGTTTTCCTGTGGCAGGTACAAAGTGACAACGTGATGCTACCACATGACACTGTAAAGCCACTCTCTAAGGGTGGTTAGGTAGAGCTATAGGACAAAGGGACTCAAGGCCCCAAGAGACAAACCTTTAAACTAGGATTAACCTCTGGTGGCTCTAAATATGCAATATCATAGTTCTTGATTCTCACTGGGCAGTGTATTGGCAATACTGTTTCCAAAACACATTGTCAAACTATTTATCTTTTATGGCTCTGTGTCTCACTCCTTCCTGCCCCAGGAATGACAGATGTGTAGTTTTGGTTTTGACAATAAACCAAGAATTTTAAATGAGAGAGGACAGGGAGTAGCTTGTGTTTTCCTTATTACCAAGGTGGTTTTTTTAATAGGGCTGCTTCTGCTCCTCCAGCTGAAAACTGCATCATGGAAATGTGTCTGTTTCCGTGCCCACTGGGCAGACACCCTGATTTCCTCCCTGCCAAAGAGAATCTCTAGTGAATAGTCAAAGCTGGCCATCAGTTCTCAGATGGGAATAGTGACTAGAGTCCGTTTTGTCTGCTGTAGTTGAAGTCGGGCTCCTCAACCTCAGTTTCTGTTATGTCTGAGATTTTGGAGTGTGTCCTTCCTATCTCTTCCAGGGCACAGGCTAGGGAGTCAAGGTCACCATCGTGCTGATGTCGGGCTTCCCAGAGGTCCAGGATGACAGCAGAGGGACTGCTTTGTGTAGCAAAATAGGAGAGATTCCTAAAAGGAGGGGAGAAAAAGGTGAAACAAAAAGGATGAGGGACAGCATATGCAGTAGCTACCGTGAATGTGGAAGTGGCTTCTTCTGCCTAGTGCTGCAGATGTGTTTAAAAGCAAAAAACTTTCAGCAAAACCTGGATGAGAGGACACACACTGGTGCATCTGTTCTTCAGATGTCACCTGCTCAGTTTAGCAGGAGAAGGAACAAGGGATTTGTACATCCTGAGATACATAAACTCTGCCCAGCAGTATATGACTTAAAATTATGCTTGTGATTACGTGAAGATATGACATCTTTTAATTGGTAATTGTGTATTTTGTTAATAGGTAGTTTTCAGGACTTTGCAGGGTGATAAAGGCTTTGGTAAAACAAAGAGTTTGTTTTAAACACATAACACTATAATAATTCCTTCCATTTATGGGCTTTGGACGTAATAATCCAAAGAAATACATGAGCTTCACATTCACAAGCATAAATATTACTTATAGCATTTGTATTACATGTAGACACATCTGTAAACACGAGAAGAAACAAACCTGTAGCACAGAAAAGGAAATTTGGACTTGAATGCTACTTGGTTTAGTTTTTAAACCAAGATAATGAGATATTTGCTACTGACCATGCAGGACAGGGCAGGGCAGGACAGGTGGGCGGGGCAGGGCAGGGCAGGGCAGGACAGGGCAGGGTGGGGCGGGGCAGGGTGGGGGTTCAGTCAGGAGGAAGTTCCTG